TTGATTTCCTGTGTTTTTCTCTTATTTATTTGTCCCCGAGTCCATTCCTCTGTAAGCTGCTTCCCTTTCAAAATGACAGCTGGCAACAATGTGTTTTAGGAACACACATTTGTTAACAGTCAGATAGAGCTCTACATATTATGTCCCTGAAGGGGTAACAACTTGCACAGCATAAAAGTACAGTATTGGTATTCCATATTTATAATTGTTTCAGTGGCTTTGATAAAAGAAGGTCTCATGATGCAGTGCCACTTCGGTAACAGGAAGGAAAGAACCTTTGGAGGTGTATTCTAGTAGTGGGGGGGAGAGACAATAGGACAGACTAGGCCGAGGCACACACAATTCTTACCAATGTGAACATTTTCCCACCAAGCACACAAAGCACTATGTGTCACTCAGGAGCAAGGCCCAGGGCATACAAAATATAGCTCTTTGTCATGCTGCCTGGACTATTGGGACCAACGCTGAACTATCTGGAGGAGATATGCTATTGCATTAGGATGAGGTCCGTTCTCTGTATCATCCTACCAACTGGTGAACATACTATTACCATTATTTTGTCTGTGTCTATTCAGAAAGGACCCGTTGCCTTCAATGGTGCTTGCTCCTAAGAAAGAAAGAGTAAAATTAAAGCCTTAATGAGTGCACAGGTACACCGAAAGCGGAGACACAACGCCTAAGCACTCGAGGGGATTTGAGTCAGAAACACCCAAGTCCAGCAGACTGAAAACTCCTAAACCTGAAAGACTGATGTGAAGAAGAACGCTGAGCTCAAGAGCCATAAATAAAGCCTGAATCAACAATGATGGTCCCTGAAGGAAAACCAACATCCTCCTTCAAGAAATCTGCAGTCATTGGCGCTGTTATGCAAACATCAGCAGCATGACAAGAATAAGCTTCTGAAGGGACAGCAGATACATTTAAAGTCAAAGGCCATTCCGTTCAAGACTTTCCAATTTGTCGTGGAGCCTGGATGTGTTAGTTGTCTGATCCAAGACTATAAGGGGTTTCAGTTGAGCTTCAGCTCTTTATTGGAACAAATGGTTCACTCCCAATTCTTCCAGGTTTCTGTGACCCCTGTCCAGCAACACCTGGCTTGCCTTCTTGCCCCCTGAACGGATACTACCAGCGATGTTGGCAAGTCTTTGGGTCTGGGCCTCAAGTCCGAGTCTGAATCTTTGGTACCAATTCCCAATTCCCAAGACTCAACTCAAAGTCCTTATTAAGAACAAGCCATTCTTCCCTGAAAAAAAGGAGGGGTGAGTGGGTTCTGAATTGTCAGTTGAGTCCAAGTCATTGGGGGAAAAAATCTGAGTCGAGTCTGAGTCCAGTCACTGGTGTGACTTAAGTCTGACTTGCCAATGAGTCCTGTGACTTGAGGCCTCAACCCTGGATACTGTTTATCTGAACAGAAAAGGGGAGTGACAGGATATGCAGGCATAGAACAACACATCGAGGAAAGGGCCAGACGGATCTAGCAGGGACTGAACCAACTTTGCATACTCATTTAGAACAGAGATCAGGAACATGTGATCTTGCAGGTATTGTATTGCTGTATTAGCTAGAATTTAAAAGAGTTGCAATCCAGCAACATCTGGGGAAACATATGTTTCGCATCCCTGATTTCAAGCTTAATGAACACTGAAGGAATTATCAAAATGGTTTCAACAGAAAATTTGGATCAATATAGCCATGTTACTTTTTGGAAAAAAAAAATATTTTATATTCCTTGCTGGCTGAAGATGGCTCTAAGTATAGTTCTTCTTTATACATGCATTAGTATCTTAGTACTTCTGAACAACATGGGGTGGTATATAGATTTAGTTCTCAAATATGAACCTCTAAAACAAATTAGGACAAAAGTAAGTGACTTACCCAAAGTTGCTTGGTAGGACTGGGTATCATGGCTAAAATTTAACTACACCCTTCCTATTTGTACATTCATTAGTTTCATTCATTTTCAGGTAAAATTTTACTTTTCGGTTGAAATGGCTTCAGAAAAAATAACTTTGCTTCCTCCCTATAAAGGCCAATACAGAAAATTTTCATTTCATTTTTTAGAAAGAGATATGACTAAAACAGGAAACTATTTTTAATTAATTCTCTCACTCAGTTTATTCCTGCACAAGGATTAGGAATATTTTGCAATACTGAATATTTTGCAATGCTGTATTTAAAAAGAAGAAATCACTCAGTTTTTGCAGTACCTTAGTAATGTATTTTCCCCCAAAGACAGCATCTGTTACCAACTTTTCTCAGATTAATTAGTCTAATAACAATTAGAATGAAGACTCTATTAGTAAAAGTTCCATAGAATGCTGAATGTGTGGAACCCAAAGAGTGTTCTGAAAATTCAGATAGAAACAAAATAGACTATAAACTTGTCAATATGCGTTTCAAGGCACATGCACCATCTAGTGGTAGAATACCATTCACAAACTGGAATACCATTGTAAAACTGCCTTTTTTATTCTGCAGTGGCTAAATATTCAGTAATCCAATTTTGTTTGATTCATTTTTAATAACAGATTCCCACTATCCATACATGTTTTCATAAATTTAATGAAAAAAGCCATGAAATTTTAAAAATTAATAAATGTAGGAGATGTATTCTTGGAGGCTTTCACGACACGGATCTGATGGTTGTTTTGGGGTTTTTCGGGCTCTTTGGCCATGTCCTGAAGGTTGTTCTTCCTGATGTTTCGCCAGTCTCTGTGGTCAGCAAAAGGAACAGAGCATGGATAGAGTTCCTACTCCAGTCCTCTGAAGATACCGGCCACAGAGACTGGCGAAACATCAGAAAGAACAATCTTCAGAACACAGCCAAAGAGCCAGAAAACCCCATAACAACCAAATGTAGGAGAAATTGAAATTGACAGATCCATTCATCCTTAATTACAGGTGAAAGCTGGTTGGATAGCTTGGTGAGTTGAGTACCTGGCTGTAGAGCCAAAAGGTCATGAGGCTGATTCCTAACTGTGCTTCCTGAAAAAAAAGTAGATCCAGGCAGGCTGCAAAGTCTTAGAATGTCCAAAAGAAGGGAAGGGTAAAGCACTTTTGAGTACTTTATACAAGAACAGCCATGAGCCAGTGTGGACTTGATTGGCACATAATAAATCACTCAGTCAATTATAGGTGAAATGTTGGTATAGCTCAGTGAGATGGATCTATAGGGGTGGGGGTTCAAAACCCCAGTTTGCTTTATAGGAAAGGAGCAAGACGAGATCACTCAGAGCATGTGCAGATGATGGTGTTTTATGCCCTGCTACTTGTGCAATCTTGGGTAATCTGCATGCTTTCACAGGGTCACCAAAAGGATGGACTGGTAAGCCAAAATCCTGGGAGAGCCCCTGTAAATCAGAATGCACTTGCTGGCGCATGATTAATTAATAACTGTATGTGTCCAAGAAAAATTAGATATAGTCCATTATACAATATTATGCAAAATGTTTGTGAAAAGATCCTTTATTTCAAATAACAAACGGAGAAATGAGTTCAATAATCCAAGTCTGTGGTCATGCAGAACTAATTGTGAAGTTATTTGGATCATGGCCTAAGTGACTTAAAAACAAGCAGATAACTTTAAAAAAAAAAAGACCAGATACGAATGACTATCGCTCAGTGGTTTAGATATCTGGTATGCCAACCCTGTTTTTTTTTTCCTTTTTTGTTATTGTTGTTTTGCTGTCATGCTGAAGCACGCCTTTGGAAGTGCAACAGAAGGTGTCTATCTCCAGACTAGATCAGATAGAAAGCTCTTTAATCTCTCTAGATTGAGAGTGAAGACCAAAGTGCAGCTGAAATGCATGCAGGACTTCCTCTTCGCTGATGATGCAGCTGTTGTTGCCCATTGTGCTGAAGACCTCCAACAACTCATGAATCATTTTAGCAAGGCCTGCCAAGAGTTTGGATTAACAATCAGCCTGAAGAAAGCACAAGTCATGGGCCAGGGCATGGACTTGCCTCCCTCTATTATATTTTTTATTTTATTTAATTAGATTTATACCCTGCCCAGCTAGACAGATAGTGTACTCTGGTCAGCATGACAAAATTTAAAAACAATAACATGTAAAAATCCAAGATGTAAAAATATACAGCAGGAGGGAAAGCCTGCCTAAATAGCCATGTCATTAGTTTACTTCTAAAGACACCCAGAGAGGGAGCCAGGCGGATCTCTACGGGCAAGTTGTTCCAGAGGCAAGGGGCCATTGCCGAGAAGGCCCGGTTCCTTGTTCTTTCCTTCTGGGTCTCCCTCGGCGTTAGGCCCCTCAGTCGCCTGGTCTGGCTAGAACAAGTGTCTCTGGTAGAACTGGTTTGGAAAAGGTGCTCTGTACACAAGAATTGGAGGTTGTTCATGATTTTGTGTGGCTTGCTTCAATGATCTCTAGATATTGAGCTGGATAAATGCATTTTTGGTATCACCTGGCAGGACAAAGTTCCAAATAGAGTAGTCCTAGATTGGGCTGGAATTATTAGTGTGTATACATTACTGAAACAGTGACGTCTACGTTGGCTTCAGTGTGTCGTGAGAATGGCTGACAGTTGGATTCCAAAATATCTCCTGTATGTGCAGGGAAATTGCCCCAGAGAGAGACCACAGCTGCAATTTAAGGATATCTGCAAGCGGGATCTGAAGGCCTTAGGAATGAACCTCAACAGATGGGAAAATTTGACATCTGAGCATTCAGCCTGGAGGCAGGTGGTGCAGCATGGCCTCTCCGAATTTGAAGATACACTTGTTCAGCAGGCTGTGAAAAAGAGGCAGTCCCCAAACCAGCAAAACCAGGGAGCTGGACAGGGGACAGATTGTATTTGTCTTCAGTGTGGAAGAGATTGTCACTCTCAAGTTGGCCTTCTCAGCCACACTACATGCTGTTCCAAGACCTCTATACAGAGCATGTTACCATAATCTCTTGAGACTGAAGGATGCTCACTATTACTAATAATAGACATAATGTGGTACATAACTCTCTTAATAAACACATATTTTCTCTCTCTAGGTAGAAATTGGAACAGCCTTACCATCTATAACTCGAGAGATCTATTTACCTTCATCACTGCCAGAGGAAGCAGAAGAAGAAGCATCCACACCCAAACTGATTGATGGGTCTTCGCCTCATGGACCAGGAGTTCTTGGTCCCCATACACATGAAGGTTAGTAAAACAAAACTGGGAGACATAATTGTAGCCTTTCATGTATTGTTGTAGGTTTGAGGCTCTAATTCTATCCATTGTTTGCCTGTTTATTTGTCTGTCTTTTTGTTTGCTTATTCCTTGGAGGACCTTCACATATTCTTTATATTTTATTTTATTTTTGCCTTGGGCTAAATGCTTCAGGATATTCAGTGAGGGGATTATCATTACCAAAATAAAAAAGTGCATTACATGGAGCATCAGAGTATGCCTCTTGATGCCTGTATACCTTGAAATGCTTGAAGCTCAAAGTTGCTAATTTCTCAAAATCCAAAGGGGAAGGAATAGAGGTTAGATGTTAACTTATTTTTGTTACATCCCTGCTGGACGATGGACTAAGAAAGGGAAGTGCCTCTTATTTCACTGTCTTAGTTTATGAGTTACCCATGTACTACACACATATGAAAGTAAAGACAACCACTGTTTATATTTTAATATTTCCATTCATTCAGATTATTTTGAGTATTCACATTGCCAGGCTTAAGACAAGCTAATGACACCATTTAAGCAAATGAAAACATTTCTTCATGTTACAGTCTATATGAACCTCCCCAAGCTTTGAGACCAGCTGCAAGAGACTGCTGTCTGTCTCATTGTCACTGGAAATATGGTTGCCTAGCTCTGAGAACAGGGCTTTCTTGATGGCAATCGCACAGTTATAGAATTCCTTTCCTGGGGGAATCCAACAGACTCTTTCTTTTCCCATTTTTAGAACTGGCTGCCTAGGAGTGGCATTTTCCATTAAACTGCAGAGATCTATTGCAGTCAGAGTTGATGGAATGTCCAGATAGTTATACAGTTAAGCTTTAAAATCAAGAGAGAATGCTGTTAATTTTCCGGCCACAGTTGTTATCTATGATTACATTCCCTTAAAGCCAGTGTACAAATGAGTTAAACTGAACAAAGGCTGTTGATTTCATTGGGACTTGAGAGTGACAACTTTCATTGGATTGTGGCTAGTACAATTCAAGAAACAGTGTTCTAAATCTTTGGGAACTCCGTGAAACTAACTCAAAGGGGAAGTAGGTGAAAATTATGTCCGTAACCTAGCCTAGCTAGGGGACAGATACTCATTGTGGTGTAGTGGATAAGTGGTAGTCTAGGATTTGGGAGACCAAGATTCAAATCCCTGCTCAACCATTGAAACCTAGACTGAGGTCAGATTAGGGAAATGCCCTGCTTCTTTCTCGCATCTTCTGCTTCCTGTATAGTTGTGTGTTGTGGTCATGTGGTATATATCCTGTGATAGTGCTTCATACATTTTTACCCTTCCACTTTCTTTGGGTGAATTAGATGTGGTACATTTGTCTATACCACTAAAGTAGGACATATCCCCTTCTTTTTCTTGTGCCTCCAAGCAGGACATATCCCCTTCTTTTTCTTGTGCCTTTCTCTGCTCCCCCTTCCTTTTTTCTTTTTTAAAAATTGTGTGGGTACATTGCTGTGTCGGCAAAATGTCCTTGCTGACCACATACTGATCTGGGTAATTTTTTCCCCTATTTCCATGCTTTGAGAGACCTATTAAGGATGCCGTAAGTCAGTTCCAACTTGACAGCACATGACATAACATAAGCAAAGGAGAAGGGGAGAAATACAATGAGGACTGAGTGAAAAGTGACACATAGAAATAAGGCCATGGGATAAATGGGGTTCTATCATACTAAGCATTTGTAGTATGAAGTACAATAAAAAAAGGACATACAAATAAGACATCTTATTTTACATTTTACCACAATTTGCATGATATTTCTCAATTTTCTCTAAAAAATTTCATTTTTTTTCTAAATTTACTATATAGTAATTTTACTCTCATTATGATGGTTCCAAAAGCAATGAAAATGGACAGCTTTTCCCCATTTTATCGGAACACCTGTTAGTAAAGACATCTCATAAATTGGATTAAATGCTTCAGGTCTGTTTCTTTATGCTCCTTCAGCACTAGTTGGATGTTTTGTTTAATAATCCATAGTTTTCAAATAGTTTTAGCTCAGGGGATGATTGAAACCTTCCCTGATGTTATTGCTCTGCATCAGAAATGCTAATTAAAAACAATTCTAAGGAAATTGAGGTCTCCGTAGGAAGAAAAAGCAATTTCCTAAAAAATATCATCAAAAAGGGATGCTGGTTACCAAACTAAATATAAGCAGCTTTATTAAGTTTTAAAGGAAGGACATGCAGATCCTCAAGTTATGATACAGCCTAAACAGATCATCATAGCTATTTCCTCAGGAATCTAGTATGAGCAACAAAATTATACTGTTATAAAAGTTCATGTGAATCTTTCTCAAGTTCAGCCCAAGACATGTTGCTGCTTGAGACATAGGACAAGATAATGTCTCTTGCAACCTTGGGGAGTCATCCTTGCTCATTGCTATCACACTAGTGAGATATACTCTCCCCATATACACTTCTGCCACGTCCACCCTACACCCAACCACCTTCTTATTTGTGCTGCTAGTTGTGAATGTGAAATGCTACAATAATTTGTTGTTACATGCTGTTGTTATCCATAGCCTGAGGGCTGTTGTCACTTTTTACAGAACAAAGCTTAAAAGGAGAGGTCACCGGTTCTTAAACCATTACCAAATGTGACATCCTACGATGATTATTTTGGCATCTGCTGTTGTTATCCATAGCCTGAGGTTCCTTTACCAACATAGCACTGTCACTTTTTACAAAATAAAGCTAACTGCTGAATAGCTCAGTGGCTTAGGTCTCTGGCTCTGGAGCTACAAGTTGAGAGTTAATTTCCCCGCTGTGCCTCCTTGAAAGAGGCTGGAGTCGATAGTCCCTAGGGTCCCTTTCAGCTCTGTGGTTCAAAGGTTATTTAAAGGAAAAGAATTTAGAAACAGAGATCTTAAATCATTAAAATACCACATTGACTCACACAGTTTTCATTTGCCCCCCCTTGCCCCGGAATAATGATGCTAGACTAGAATTATGGATTAAACATGAGCCACACTTTATTGAAATCAATGTTGCCAATCCTTTGGCAAAGGGGGGTTCTGCTGTAGTGCAGAATCAGGTTTAAACCCAGATGTCTTAACGGACCTTTTAACAAACAAATGGGCAATTCCCTGGCCCATATTTTCGCAACTGTGAGGACAGCGAAAAACCCGGCTGGCCCAAATTTGACTGCACCCAGACTCAAGCCACACTCTCCCTGTTGACTGTTGATCTGGGAGTGGCCCTAGCACATCTCTCCCTCCCCCCCGCCAAGCACTGTAATTTCACGATCCACAGTGTTGGGAGTTCAGATGAGCTACACATTACTTGAGATAGCTATGGGACTCACCAAAAAACCTGTTTGATCCGCACTACCCACCACTGCATAGGGACTAGCCTTGCTAAGTCCCATGCCCGCCATCAAGATCCCCCAGCTCCAAAAGCAGCCCCCCCCCTTGATGTCTTCAAAGAAAACATCCAAACCTCGTTCAGATAGATGTATGATATCTGACTGGAAAAATCAGGCCTATCCAAGACTACCCTGCTAAGTTCAATCAGCGATCCAAGGCCGCTGCAATCAGCTCTGCAGACTACCCTGCTAACACTCCTTCATGCGGTGTTAGCGGGCCAAAAATGCCTTGCATTTCTCCATACCAGCTGAGGGATGGTCATCGGCCATACAATGTTCATAGCATGATATGGTGCCTTCACTGATCAGAAAACTCAGGCCTATCCTTATAAAATGTAAAATTATAAAATGTAAAACTAAATCAAAAACCCAAGAGGAAGTGTCAGGCAAACCGTGGGAGGGAGATGATGCTACCCCCACTTTTCCCAAGCATTGAGTCTGCAGGCCTCGCAACCACACTACACCGTGTGAAAGGCAGTCCAGCAGCTAAACTCCATCCTTGACTGTTGCCAGTGAAGGAAGAGGAAGAGGAGAGGGGGGAACAGCCTTTAAATAACCTAGCATTTCCCCCCCTCCCACCTAGCTGCTCACATGAGACTGAAGAGGTCTCACCACCTCCGAGGAAGACGGCAAAGCCGAGCCGTGCTGCTGAAGCATGACTCAGCAGCGGCTCAATCATTTGAGTCCACTATACTAACCAATCATTGTCATTTTGTCCTCACATGCATGCCATATATAAATGATAGCCATATTTTCTCATTCTTATATCTCAGGAAGTGAACCTGATTCATGAAAGCTCACATTAAAACATGCAAATTCATCTTTAAAGTGCCATGATATTTCTGTCTCTTTTTCTGAAAAAAGTTGTATTTGTTTTGTTTTGTTTTGTTTTGTCTAATCTGCTCCATACTTTTCTGAATAGACCCTTTATCTAGACTATTTTGGTTTTGTGCTCCTGAGTAAATTGTTTGTCTTTCCCTGTTTTAGGTCTTCCAACTTGTCTTCTCTGTACCTGTCTGGGTACATCTGTGTACTGTGATGATCGTGAACTTGAGGCTCTTCCACCTTTGCCCAAGCAAACAACCCATTTCTACTCTCGTTACAATAGAATCAAAAAGATCAACAAGGATGACTTCACTAACCTAAGTATGGATGTTTATGCTGACAACATTGATCACCACATCTTAATTCCTTGTAAATGATATAATGAATTTCCTCACACTAAAAGTGAAGTATATGGTAACAGCCATCTTTTAGACTGAAGATAAATAGTAATGTATTTAATAATGAAAACTAATAATTTATAAAAGTGTTTCTGTGCAAAACTGACATTAGTTTTTTTCTGCTTCTGATTTTGAAATCAGCCCAAATTTATTTTAAGAATGTTCTAAATGATTTCCTGATTTAATTTTCTTGACTAGGCAGCTTAAAAAGGATTGACCTGACCTCCAACTTTATATCTGAAATTGATGAAGATGCCTTCAGAAATCTCCCACAACTGCAGGAACTGATACTTCGAGATAACAAGATAAGGCAACTTCCAGAATTGCCACCAACCTTGTTATTCATTGATCTTAGTAATAATAGACTCGGTCGCAAAGGAATAAAACAAGAAGCTTTTAAAGTGAGTTATGAGTTTAGTTCAGTGATGGTGAACCTTTTTGAGCCTGAGTGCCCAAACTGCAACACAAAATCAACTTACTTATTTCAAAGTGCCAACACTGCAATCAAACCCCAAATGCTAAGGTTTTAGTTTAGAAAGAACAACTGCTCATGCACTGCAAGGGTTAAATACTTGTTGTTTTTTCCTATGGGCGGTATTACCAAAGAAATACTTACCAGTCTTCCAATCCCCCATTGGGCTAGACCAGTAATGGTTGCCATTGTACCCCTCTACTGGACCACTGCAGTAGCAGATGGGAGTGCCAAAATCTGGGATTGGAGGATGGGTAAGTATTTGTTGATGGTGACTTATGGCTTGCATGCCCACAGAGAGGGCTCTGTGTGCCAGCTGTAGCACACGTGCCATAGGTTTGCCATCGCTGGTTTAGTTGTTCACTTTTTAAAAAAAAGAATACAAACTTCCTGACTAATAATTTTTACCATAGTAAGAACTGGAACCCTTTGTATGGGATGAGGTGGGCTGCGGCACCTTTGCAGGAGTGGATTGAGAGTGTTATCGAGGGCAAAACAATGGCAGCCGGACACCTCTGAAACATGTGGCATGATTTAACAGCATGTTTCTTCTTCCTGGTGATTCACAACAGTAGGTTCTTGTGCACTAGTGCAAGCTTCCTTAGGGAATATTTCACAGTTTTAGAGCCATTGCTCCATCCCTCAGATAGTACGTACTATCCACCCAGCAACTGCTACTCAGTTGCCTCTCAACTGAGACAACACTTCATGGCTGTTTTGGAGCTTCCCACCCCCACCCCACCCCTTTACTGTGAACTATTGTGTATTATTACTTGTATAAGTTTGATCTAAACCCTTTTCCCTTTACCTTCATACCTGTTTAAAATTAGAGAGAGAGGGGCTTTGTTTAGACCTTTGTTACACCATTCCTGTTTTCTTGCCATTTTATGGCCCCTATGGACCCATTTAAGAACTGTGCAGCTTGTCAGGCCATATAGCAGATATCATTTCACTTTTCTCCTTCTGATGTATTCAAATACATTAGGCAAGCCCTGAGTTAAAAAAAATAAATCAGACTTTTAAGAATTAAAACCCTGGTTGCAATAAAAGATAAATCTAAATCCTGATTGCAAAACATTTTGCCTTGTCACAATAAATGCTTCCAGGTGCTGTAACATAAAGCCTCTAAGGCTGCTGCAATATCTTTTTTTAAAATTCTCTTTTATAATCCACCACCTGGAATAATAGTAAGAGACATATTGTATGTGTTATACACAAGCAAATGTATCTATTTAATTAATTCAAGATCTGAAATGTACATTGCTTCTTACCTTACTATCTCTTTCATCATGCCAATGTGTACTATCTTGGGCTAAGGCAGGAGCTAGGAAGAGTAAGAGTATCCCAAACATGGGCCTTTGCCCTTGTCATTACTAATGGTAGTAATCCACACTAAGTTCTTCATTCTCCTTCATTTAAGCTATCATAACCCAACTACTAATGGTAGTAATGCACACTAAGTTTTTCATTCTCCTTCATTTAAGCTATCATAACTCAGTGAGACACCTTGATGAAGAATGTGCTGCCTTCTGAGATTCCTTGTCTCCCAGCAATAGTGAGACAGGATGTGTTGTGGGTTTTGTTTTCTTTTTCCCATATCTCTGCAATTTGTGCATATTATCTTTTTCTTTCTTTCTTTTTTAACAAACCAGTGTTCTTTCCTTTTAAGAAACTAAGGCTTTTCTTTTCTTTTTTTTAAGATAAAGAAAATCATATAGACATCCAAAACAATTAACAAATGTCTACAAAACATAGTGCTCCCCATCGCTGAGGACCACTTGGGAATTGCAGCCTTTTACCTCCACGAAGCCCTGTTTCCCTTTCAAAACTGTAATGACTGTAATGTAATGTGAGGGGAATTGTCCCTTCCCCTTTATTAATACAAAACATATTCTCCACATATATCTCTAAATTTATCCTTCACACCCCCTTCCTAACCTTAATATTACCTGTTGGCCTAGCATTAATAGCTATATCCCAAAGTTCACAGTACCAGTCATTTAAGTGGGAATTATATCTTATTTTCAAGTTCCTGGCTATAACTAGCTATCTTGCTGTTGTTAACAAGTTGGAAATAAATTCTTTAGTTGTCCACTTACATTCTTCCTTTTCGAATATTGATGAAAACACTATTTTAGGACATAAAGCTACGTTTAATTTACTCATTTCATTCATTTCTTAAAAGCCAATTGCCAAAATTTTGATATAATCACATGATGTGACAACAAACCTGCTGTTAAGTGCAAAGCTTTGACGCTGGCAAGACATTTATTTCATTTCCAATTTGGAAATGTACAAAATGTTTTGAAAGCCTGCGAAGTACATCGAGTCACTAAACTGAAGTCTCCACACAACTGAGGCTTGTGTATTAAAAACTGGCCTTTGTATTATTATTTTTAAACACAGTTTATTTAAAGAATGAGTTTTAAAATGTTATGTTCAAGATGAAAGGAAAATGAAAGAAAATTGTTTAATTATTTTGGAAATATTTTCCTTTGCCTCAGGATATGTATGAGCTGCACCATCTTTACATCACTGATAACAACTTGGATCATATCCCACTTCCACTCCCTGAAAGTCTCCGGTCACTTCATCTGCAGGTGGGCAACAATGATCAATAGACTCTAGATGCAGGGTTTACAGGAAAGAGGGTGTAATAGTAATGTGTGACATGTTGCCTCATGCTTATGAGTGACATGCCTTTGATGCTGCAAATGGTATGACACATGTTCAAATCGAAACATCACATTCTAGATTCTCGTTGAAGGATTTGTAGAAATTGGAAAAACAGGCAGGCAAGAAAATGTAGGGGAGGGTTGGATTTGGGAATGAGAAGATTTGTTCTTGAAAAGCTGGGGCTTTGAGAGTGATAAATAATATCCCCTTCAAGTTCCCACTGTGTCTTTGTAATCCAGCTAGTTTGTGTTGATTTTATCATTATCATGGTTCATAATGCACCAGAGTTCCTGATAACGCATGCCTTGTAGGGGATGCGGAGTTGAGCAGGGTGGCTTCTTCTTGCTCCTAGTGGTGGCATGTCATTCAGGGTCAGCCCTGCTTGCGTTGGTTCCCAGATAGGCTCCTTATTCATTCAGCAGCCCAGCCACAAATAGACCTGTCAGGATTGGAGGAGTGGGGAGGTCTTGGCAGGCATTGCAGAGAAGGGAGTATCCTCCTCTAGTCCCATAGGTAACACAGAACCATTTCATCAGTGATAGTAAAGTCAGACTTGGAAGAACTTTGTGCCCCTTCCCACCTACCATTGTTTGAAGGTTCCTGCTGGTTTTGAAGGCAGCAGTTCACTGGGCTATGATTCATTTTCTTATAAGCACCAAGCCTTGTGCACCGTTTCATTCTTATATGTCACTACCTTCTGTTAAGTCAATTTGGGCATTTGGAATAGATTCATTTGGGAGGGGGGGAATGGTGCATGTGTCTCCCTCAACATTGGGAATCCCTTAAAAGGATCTTGAGATTAAGGTTTTGAGAAAAATGTCCATCTTAGGGGCTGTTAGATCTGTTTCACTAGAAGACAGAAGAATTCTACAGGGGTTATGTCCTTGTGGCAGGACATCTTGTGTTTTTTCTCTCAACACAAGAGCAGGGAATGGTAGTTTATCAATTAACAATGCGTGAAGACATTTCCCAATATTGTTCCATGACTCCTCAGGTGTAACCAATAAAGTTGTGGCCATTTTATCCTAGCTATATGTTTTGGACATTTATTCAATTCTACTCTATTACTTTACCTCCTGTGATGTTAAGACCATAAACAAGATATTTACTATTTAATCATAGACATGCTGGGACTTGAGGTATCGACTATTGTAATATTCATAGATGCTTCTGTTTTCTTTCCAGAACAACAATATACAAGAAATGCACGAGGATACTTTCTGCAAAACGAAAGACTATTCCTATATCCGTAAATCTCTTGAAGACATCAGGCTAGATGGAAATCCCATTAATCTGAGCAAAACTCCTCATGCCTATATGTGCCTACCCCGACTGCCAGTTGGAAGCCTTTTTTAAGCCAAGACAGTAATAAAAATACTGTACAATATAATTTCTTTTTCAAGTAAGCACATGATTGCTTTCAAAAGCATAGTGGATACTATTGCAAGAGCTCATAATATTAGGATATATATCATTAACGTAAGATTATGAGTAAATAGGTACAGTCAGTAACATACAGTGCTGAATATAAATTCATTCTCTGAGAAATATTGGAATGGGGAATGTTGACCTTGCAAATGTTTTTTTTTTCACTACAATTTCCATAATCTTTTACCATTGCCCATGCACAATGGGTTGATGGGAGCTATATGCTGTGGGGTTTGGAGAGCTCTGTCATAGGAACTGTCAACATTTTCAGCTCTGAAGTAATTGTTAGGAAGACTAGATGGTAATTATTGTATTGCTTACAAATTATGATTGTAAACCGCCCAGAGTAGTGGTTTGGCACCAATGGGAGTATAAATAAATAAATAAATAATTCCTTATTTCTAATTCTATTTACCACAGAAGTATTGTAGCAGAGCTATAAAAATTGTTATTTATATCGACTAATTCTATCTTGTTTTTATTACATGCTATGTTCCTGATTCATGTTATGTTCCTCTTTCACTGCACCTTCCAGAACATAAGAGTCCTGCTGGAAGAGATAGAGAGTTCATATAATCCAATAATGTGCTTCCACACACACAGAGAGAGACACATTTTACAGACCTCAGGAGGATGGAAGGCTGAGTCAACCTCGAACTGGCCACCTGCGATTGAATCCAGGTCATGAGCAGGGTTTTAGCTCAGTACTGCAGTTTAACTGCTGTGCCACAAGGATCTTTTGTAACATACAGAATATTATCTTGCAGTAGAAAGGACATGTGGAATCTGTGCTTATATAAGTAAATAAATCTACAGTGAGAATATTTAATATATTCATAGCAACCATTGGATAGATAATAGTGAAGGAACACAAATGGCTGTTTCTAATATCTTTTCAAGCACACCATCGTTACATAGCAGCAATGAGAAATTTCTGTGAAATGGTATGTTTCAGAAATGTTGAATATTTCCTCTTAATATGATGAAAATAAAGAAAACTTCTTAGGCTGTAGGATGTCATAAAACACTTTGTTGTTTTGCAGCAAGAGGCTAATAAGGCTTCCCCTTTGACTTTTTTTTCATGTGCCTCTTTAAAATGAACATATTTTTCAAGTGGCTATTCACCAATTTCACAATAATATGCACAACTTCTCAAATAATAACCATAATCTAAACATTGATTTACATATTGATTAGGCATCCTTCAGTCTCAAGAGACTATGGTATCATACTCTATATGGAGGACTTGGAACAGCATCTAGTGTGGCTGAGAAGGCTAATTTGACAGTGACAATCCCTTCCACACTGAAGACAAATACAATTTGTACCCCGTCTAGCTCCCTGATTTTCCTGCTTTCGTGACTGCCTCTTTGCCTCAGCCTGCTGGACAAGGATCTCTTGAAACTGGGATTCAGCCTCCAGGCTGAACACTCAGATGTCAGGGTTTCCTATCTGTTGAGATCCATTTCCAAGGCCTTCAGATCCCGCTTGCAGATCCTTGTATCGTAGCTGTGGTCTCCCTCTTGGGCAATTTCCCTGCACTAATTCTCCATACCAGAGATCTTTTGAAATCTGACCATCAGCCATTCTCACGATATGCCCAAATCAACATAGATGTCACGGTTTCAGTAATGTATACATGCTAAAAATTCCAGCTCAATCTAGGACTCCTCTATTTGGAACTTTGTCCTGTCAGGTGATACCAAAAATGCATTGAAGACAACGCACGGTATGTGTTCATCTTCCTCTCCTGCCGTGCACATAGGGTCCAGGACTCACTGCAGTACAGGAGTGTGCTCAGGACACAGGCTCTATAGACTTGGATCTAGATGTATGCCGTCAGCTTCTTATTAAGCCATACTCTCTTTGTGAGTCTAGAGAACATGGTAGCTGCTTTGCAAATGCGTTTATCCAGCTCGACATCTAGGGAGAGAGTGTCAGAGATCATTGAGCCAAGGTACACAAAGTCATAAACAACCTCAAATTCTTGCATGGAGATGGTAATAGAGGGAGGTGAGTCCATGCCCTGGCCTATGACTTGTGCTTTCTTCAGGCTGATTGTTAGTCCAAAATCTTGGCAGGCCTTGCTACAACGATTCATGAGTTGTTGGAGGTCTTCAGCAGAATGGACAACAATGGCTGCATCATTGGCGAAGAGGAAGTCCCGCATGCATTTCAGCTGCACTTGGGTCTTTGCTCTCAATCTAGAGAGATTAAAGAGCTTTCCATCAAATAATAGCCATAATCTAAACATTGATTTACACAATGTTTAAAAGAATTATGGCATCAGTTGCAGTGGCAAATTTCCACTAATTAATTAGTTGCTGCCTGCATTCCTGGGTGCACATGCAGTCGACCACAACCACCATCTCATTAATGAGTGCAGTTTGCTCCCATAATTTATGCCACTACACCTATGCAGCATAAATCACCTGTTGGAGTCTGGCCAAACATACACAACCAACACAGAGCATATTAAAATGCAAATATTTCCTGATACATCATGAAATTAACAGAGCATTAGAAAAACTCTACAACCAAAGGAACTGACACAAAAATATTTCATTTTGCTCTTGTAAAGAAAGCAAGAAATGATTCAGAAAACAGATGATTGTCTCATGAAAGGCATTCCAGAGTTCTAGGCTTTAACAGAGGTGACTAACTCTCAGTGAGGCCAAAGATTAATTGGCAGATCAAGTTGGAAAGGACTCAGGCCATTTATGGCTTTAAAGGTCAAAACCAGTGCCTTGAAGAGTCTGGAAGTGAACTATTTAGTAGTAATTCAGTTTTAGTGTTCATGATGAATGCGTGTAACAATGTCATTGATATAGGATTCTGATGGGTTCAGCATTTTACACCAGCTAGGGTTCTCAGATTATCTTGAAAGGCAGCCTAATGTATCTTTGGTAAGTTTTAGGAAAGAAAGGGAAATTTGATTAAAACAAGGAAATTAAGATGTATTCTTGAAGGCTTTCACAGCCGGGATTTGATGGTGGTTGTAGGTATTTTGGGCTGTCTGGCCATGTTCTTGAGGTTTTTCTTCCTAATGTTTTGCCAGTCTCTGTGGCTGGCATCTTCAGAGTACAGGAGTTAGAACTCAGACAAATGCTGGCCAGAGACTGGTGAAAAGTTAGGAAGAAAAACCTCAAGAACATGGTCAGACAACCTGAAAAACCTACAACCACCATTGAAATCAAGGTGCCCAATTAAATTTTGCCTGGTAGAGGGCAAAGCAACACACTCCGTCAACTATCTTTTTTAAAAAAAAAAAACAACAGACTTCTCTTTCATGGATAGATAAAGATAATTACTATAGCCTTATTTTTTAAATCAATACTATGTGCATTCGAGAGTTTTCATGCTTGCTATGTAAAGTGAGTGACCAGTGGTGAATCAGATATTTTTTAATCTTTATCCAGTGTCACAAATTAGGTAGAGAAATTTAACATTGCTAATCAAGAGCCTCGTGGCGCAGTGGTTAAAACGCTGTACTGCAGCTAAAAACTGTGCTCACGACCTGGGGTTCAAATCCCAGGTAGCCGGTTCAAGATTGACTCAGCCTTCCATCCTTCCGAGGTCGGTAAAATGAGTACCCAGCTTGCTGGGGGGGCAATGTGTAGCCTGTATAATGAAATTGTAAACTGCCCGGAGAGTGCTTGTAGCACTATGGGGCGGTATATGAGTAAAAAATAATAATAATGTAGCTCCAAGCCAAACAATCTGCAATCCTTTCAAATTGTTGTCAGATTTTAGAGTTCTAGATTATCTGGATTCTAGAATATATTGTTTTTGAATTTTAGTGAATTATTAAAAATACTCTATTGTTTTGTTTTCTTCTGAATTTTGTACATAATTCTGTACATGAGCAGCCTGCCACACTTTCATATTTTTTCAGTTCATTCATATTCACTATGCAAATGATCACCTGACAGCATATACCAAGATCCAGGTCTATAGAGCCTGTGTCCTGAGCACACTCTTGTACTGCAGTGAGCCCTGGACCCTTTGTGCACGGCAGGAGAGGAAGCTGAACACATCCCGTGCGTTGTCTCCAATGCATTTTTGGTATCACCTGGCAGGACAAAGTTCCAAATAGAGTAGTCCTAGAATGAGCTGGAATTTTGAGCATGTATACACTACTGCAGCAGTGATGTCTACATTGTCTTGGGCATGTCGTTGTCTTGCGCATGTCGTGAGAATAGCTGATAGTCGGATTCCAAAAGATCTCCTGTATAGAGAATTAGTGCAGGGAAATCACCCCAGAGGGAGACCACAACTGCAATATAGTACAAGGATATCTGCAAGTGGGATCTGAAGGCCTTAGGAATAAACCTCAACAGATGGGAAACCTTGAGTGTTCAGCCTGGAAGCAGGTGGTACATCATTTACTTTATTTTACTTTTATTAAACTTATACCCCGCCTGTGATGGATAGGTCAGTAACCATTCCTGTCCATCACAATGGAACCTTGATTCAGGAGCCAATGGTTATACAGAAAAGGTGGAGCTAAGGATATATAAGAAGAATGGATGACAGTTAAAGGCCAGTTAGAGAGGATTTCAGTTAGAGTTTCAGTTAGGGATGAGTTAGGGAGTTAGGACCAGCAGTTAGGACCAGCCTGGTGTTAGAGAAGAATAGAAAGATAGAGAACAAGATAAGAAATGAATAAATACCTTGATTAACATGACTCTATCTAAGCAAATATAAATGTTATGAAAGCACAGTTGATTGCATGAATAAAATAAGACCATCCATGATTCACTTTACATGATTTACTGATAAACACATAAATAAATATTGTTTTATTAGAGAACTGTGAATTAAGAGTCATATTTAATAGAGGGAGGGATAAACCCTCTGGTGGCAGTGGAAAAGGGTTGAAAATTAAATGTCATACCCGAAAGTGCACCTGGGCTGCATGATAGAACACAGGGGAACTGGGGGTGCGTGACACCGCCCCTCTAGACAAAGTCTACTTGGGGCGGCTTACATGAGTAAAAAAACAGAATAAAATAACGTACATAATAAAACCTAGAGTGGTCCTATGTGATTCAGATAGGCGGGATATAAATTAAATAAATAAATAATAAAATAAAAAATAAGTGTCATGGCCTCTCTCTCCTTGTTCAGCAGGCTGAGGCAAAGAGGCAGTCCTGAAACCAACAAAATCAGGGAGCGGGACAGGGGACAGATTGTATTTGTCTTCAGTGTGGAAGGGATTGTCACTCTCAAATTGGCCTTCTCAGCCACACTAGACGCTGTTTCAAGACGTCTGTTCAGAGCACGTTACCATAGTCTCCTGAGACTGAAGGATGCCTACACAATGTATAGCGAAAAACAATCATGTGATTGTAT